CTTACTAGCTGTTTGACCCTGGTCAAGTCATAGTCTTTCTGAGCCTCAGTTCCTAATCACTAAAATTAGGTGGTTGGCAGAGGTATCAAACTCACTGGCAGCCTGGGGACCACAAAAGGCAGAGTACAGCTGAACCAGATTCAAATGTAATTGGGAACTATTTAAGAAAATAAAGACCCAATGTAATATAGGTAATGTTAATTTGTGGTTTTCTAAGTCAATATGTGACCCAGAGGGATCCATTTCTTTTTGCATTTGACACCAATAAACTATGACCTTTAAGGTCCCTTTTAGCTCTCATATCCTGTGATAAATAACAGTAATAAAATCCAACATATACACAGCAGTTCACAGAATACTTTTTAAAAAACAATCTAGAGAAGCATATTGTTGAAACATTCTGATCCTCATGTTCCTGAGGAAGAGGAAATTGGACTTCAGAAAAATAAAGGAACTCACCTCATATCAGAGTTAGTAAACTTGAAAGGCAGGATTAGAACTCAGGTTTCATGGCTTCCATGCTAGTACTCTTTCCTTTACTTTCTCAAATAGAATGGAAGAAATAGCAACAATCATCAGTTTTTCTAGATCCAAAAAATTCAAGAACTGTTGCTTAGGATGAATACATAGATGGAAGGGAGAGAGAAAAATGGGAGACCATGTGTTGCAGTGGAAAAAAAAAGCTGTACTTTAAACAAGGAGAAACTTGAGTTTGACTCCCACCCCTGCGTGATCATAAGCAGGTCTTATTAGCCTGACAGACGAGCAGATCAGTGGTTCTGGTTCAAATTACAAGGTGCTAGAAGTGACTTTCATGGAAGAAGGGCACGGCTAGAAATGTTAATGAATATTCAAGGATCAAGCGAAAATCAGAAGCCCTACAGTTCAGTCCCACCTCCCTTGATGTGGCAGCACTGTTTTAGTACACATATTCTATGGGGTTCCACTAGTCCAGAATTCAGGGTGAGAAATTAATTGCTTGCATCAAGGAAGAGGTTTTCCTACCCCAAAGAAGAGCTTGTTGGAAAAATACTAGCAAGTACACTTGTAACTTATTTCTAGGGACAATCTTGGGCAAGGTACCTCTAACGGGGGCAGAGAAATGGGAAAAACATGACATGAAGGATGAGTTATCTCTGGGAGGGATTTGAAAAAGCAGAGAATGAATGTGTGGCTCTGATGTTGTTAAACAGTCCATTGACCTCTAATTTTCAGCAGTCTTTGGTAACAAGTCACTCAATTTCTGAGTTTCAGTTTCTCCATTGGCAAATTGGGGATAACTATGCTTCTATAGCTATCTCACAGGGTTGTTGTGAGAACCAGCTGAGATAATTAATGTGTGTAAAGTGCTTTGTAAACCTTAAAGTACTGAATAAATTTCAGTATTAAATGTAACATCTAGACCAGGGCTTACCCTCCCAAACCCGATTAGATTATTAGATTGAGTCCCTAGAAAGTGGCTCCTACTTATCCCCCAGGACAACCCCTCCACCCCCCAAGAGTTGTGAGTTTTCAAATATTTAAACTTCTATCCACTGAGTTCCCCCCAATATCTCCCCACTATCAAGGTACAGCAAGGACTTAAAGTACAACATCCTGAAATGGGGGGTACTCTATCACATCAGTTCCTGGGGACAGTAGGCTCAAATTTAAAAGTGATTGCTAAAAAAAAGTTTCCCCCCATAAGGTTCAGTTCTCAGTGTGGCATAGCCAACGAATGAGTCACTGCCTTGTTTTCAGGTCGTAGGGTTTCAGCTGCCAGGTCATTCCTCAGGGCTGGCTCCTCCATGGACTTGGCTACTGATGCTACTGGCCCTTTTTGCTAAAGGGCATCCACGATTATGCTTCTACCTTTTAGAGGCTCCTAAGTTCATAACTGGGTTCATTTTGTCTGATATTCATTCACCTAAGATCAGGATAGAATACAACTCAATAGAAACAGATTGGCCATGTGTTCACAGCCACATGGCAGCTGGGTGGGGGTGCCCACAACAACCACTACTACCTCCCCTCCTGCCCCACTCCCACCTGGAAGTCCACAGCATTTCTCTTCTGTCCTCACTTGAAAGCTGCCAGCAAACAGAACAGTTCAACTGCTTGTGTCATTTGTAGGCACATTCAATTCTGTCTCAGCAGCAAGTAAAATGGTTTTTCATTATCACATAGTAAGCAGATAGAGGTTAGAGGATACCTGCACAGCAGGCCCACCAAGCCTCCCTGCAGATATCACAGCAGGCTGAACATAGAGCGAGTCCTCTCCAGATGCTCATTGGTCAATGTCCCCATTAAACAAGGAAGAATTATTCCATTTTCATCTTGCTTCTGTTTTCTCTACTAAGGAGAACATTCTCCAGACCAGGAAGGAAAGAACAAAAATGACTAATAAGTTGAAATTGATGAAAAACAATGAGATGATAGGGAAAAAAGTGGCTGTCAGTGAAGTCAGCCCACCAAGCCAGAGTGAATTGCATTCCAGGATGCTTAGAGAACTAGTCAATATGACTGCTGAGCCAACCACTGTCAGTGACCTTGGAAAAATCATGGAGGTTTACTAATGGGCTGAAGTCAACAACCTGATCTTTTGGTTTGTGGTTAATGATTAGTTCATAAAAATTTATGGACACCAGAATAATTTTTATGACCTCTTGTTTTATTTGTTCACTTTTCTTATTTTTTATGTTTTTACTTATATGTTCAATACTTGTATTTGTTGGTGAAAGTTAAAGTAAAATTGATAATGAAATGAAGAGGAGAACAAAGAAAAATAATGGAAAATAGGAGAGGTGCTGTCAAACTGGAGATAGGCAAATGTCCCAATTTTCCATCCCAATGGAAAAAAATAAATTCTTTAAGCTATATATCAGTGAGTTTGAGTTTGATTCCTGGCCAGATTCTAGAATATGTTATTAAGGAATGGTTTATGAGTATTTTTTAAAGTAAATACTATTCTATAAATCAGCATGGGTCATGCCAAATTAAATTTAAACTAGCATCACATACAATTATTTCCCCTACATAAAAGAAATGATAAAAAAACAAAAGGTTCTCAAACACATTTTGATAAAAGGTGTGCTTGTCTCTTTCTTCTTTCTTTTCAAAAAGAAATTTTGAAGAATTTTGAGGAATTTTCCTATTCACTGAAACTTCTTGGAATCTTAACCTCCACAAACTACATAACAAAGCAAAGCCCATCTACATATGTTTACTTCCTCCATTTAACACCATCTTATGTTAAATAATATCCCCTAACTGTAGGTCTTTCCCAAGTGTCCTAGGCCCTTTATTCCCTCTCAAGAGTCCTTGACCTGGGTGGGGGGGAAGGGGGACAATGAACCTAAAAAGAAAAAACTGAATTTTTTTTCAATATAATTGGTTTCCTTTGTAATCCATATATTTTATTTTATGCATTTAAAAACATCATTCTGAGTATGGGTTCATCAGCTTCACCAGTCAAAAGGATCCATCACATACACACACACCACACAGTTAAGAGAACCCCACACTCTATAATGTCTCTCAGTAACCTCATCAGATCTCATGGGTCTAACTATTATCTCTCTGCAGATAACTCCCAGATCTACATACACCCAGCTCCAAAGTCTACCCTGAACTTTAGTCCCTCATCGCCAATTGCCTATTAGACATTTCAAATAAGATGTCCCCTCTTCCAAACTCCCATATTTCTGCCAAAAGAACTACCACCCTTCTAGTCTCCCAGGTTTGTCATTTCAGCATTATTCTTGACTCCTCTCTCTTTCACTCCACAAATCCAATCAGTCTTTAAATCTTGCTATTCTTTATTTTCACATCTCACCTCTAACCCTTTCTCTACTCCCCATGACCACCTTTGTTCAGGCCCTCACCACCTCTCACCTAAATTATTGTCTTCCTGCCTCAAGTCTCTCACTATTCCCCAGTCCTTCCAAGTAATTTTCCTTAAGCAGAGTTCCGACCACATGACTATCCTACTCAACCAGCTCAAGTGGGCTTACTACTGCCTCCAGGATTAAATGTTAATCTCACACAACCTGCTCCCAATCTATTTTTCCAGCCTCACTGGACGTTCCCCTTCCCACGCTTATCTGAGCCAGCCAAATTGGGCTAATCTCCGTTACTCATTCTGGACACTCCATCTCCTATCTCTATGAGTTTGCACTGGCTGGGCCCTGTGCCTGGAATGCACTTCCTTGTTACTTCTGCCTCACAGAAGCCCTTTCTTTTAAGATACAGCTCAAGTACCATCTTCTTCATGAGGCCTTTTCTGATCCCACTAACTGATAATGTCCTCCCTCTCAAATTACTTTGTATTTAAATACTTTGCATATATTTGTATTTATTCATTAATCTTGTATTTATGCTGAATAAATTTTTATATGTACTCTTTGTCTCCCCCATTAGAATAAAAGCTCATATGGTACAGTAGGCAATTCATTCTTTGCACTTATATTTGCAGTACCTAGCACAGAACCTAGCATATAGCAGGTTCTTGTAAATAATTTTTATTAATTGATGATGTTCCATACCCATACTAATCATACTTGATTAGATACTTGATTTGCTTTTGTGTCCTACAGCCTTGGTATTTTCTAATTTTGGAAGCTATAAGATCACTGCAACATCAAAATAGAACTTTAGTCCAGTGGAAGCCTAAATCAAAGATTACTTACATGGGGCAGCTAGGTGGCGCAGTGGATAGAGCACTGGCCCTGAAGTCAGGAGGACCAGAGTTCAAATCTGGCTCAGACACATAACACTTACTAGCTGTGTGACCCTGGGCAAGTCACTTAACCCCAACTGCCAAAAAAAAAAAGATTGCTTATAGAAATATCTTAATTGCTACACAAGCAATATTTTGCCAATGGCATAGAAAAATAAGCTTTTCCAAATATTTTCTTCAAATACACTATATAAAATAACAGCAAAATTAGACTGGATCATTTCCTTGAACTCCCATAATACCTAACTTTCCATTTTTTTCTTAAAGAAAACATTTCCCTAAATAGAATATACATTATGAAATCTTTATTTTAAATTAACACACAGACATATTCACATTTGAATCAACACCTAGACAGCATCACAATCTCTGTGACAATAAATATACATGTGACAGAAAAGACTAGCAAAGAGGTCTAGCCTGGTGAGCAAATGCTATCAGAAGTCCTCCAGACAGAAAGCACACTCTAATCGTCAGTCCCAAAGGAGGGATCATCCTTTTCAGGAGAAGGGTTGTTTCTTCACTGCTTTCACTGGGGCAATCAGTCACTATCGTCTTCATGTGTTGTTCACATTTTGGGAAGCCCCACTAATGGAGAAGACATTCACTCTTCGGAGTCACGATATTTGGAGAATCCTGACATTACAAGTTACTTTAGATTTGTGAACTGTCTCACTGTCCTTTCACTCTCTCTTTTCAGCTCGGCGATGTGGGCATCAAGACGCTGCAGGATATGATGAGACCGTAGTTCCTCTTCTTCCAAAAATCTTGTAGCTATTGAACTAATGGGAGATGTTGGCAGGGGACGCTAAAAATGAAACAAAAACATTAATGTCAACTTTCGGATATAGGAATGAATTCCCAGTATGACCCATTCATCAGATTGAGTTTTAAAAAGAGTTGTCTTAGTATACAGTTTATTTTCTGAAGGCATACTTATTCCTCAATTTTTATCCAAAGAGTAAGAGAAATCAATAAAAAGTCTCTTCACCAAAAAGCAGAATAAGTCTCTCCTTACCCTGATGCTGAAAGATAATGGCTTTTACTATGGAAGCATAAAATTATTGGTCTGAAATGGACCTCAAAAGATTTAGCTGCATAACCTGCATACACGATTCATGTTGTTTCCCATCAGGAGTGTATTTTATGGCTACTGCCCTTTCAAAACCCTCAAAAGAAGAATAACAGTTATATTCATTTAAAAGTACAAAAACCCTCTGAATTGTAAAGCACAGATTAGATAAATTGAAAAATAGCCAGAATGGGGCAGCTAGATGGCATAGTGGATAGAGCTCCAGCCTTGGAGCCAGGAGGACCCGAGTTCAAATCCGATCTCAGACACATAAGACTTACTAGTTGTGTGACCCTGGGCAAGTCACTTAACCTCATTGCCTCATCAAAAAATAAATAAATAAATAAAAATTAAAGAAAAAAAAAAGAAAAACAGCCAGAAGTAGGGGCTAGAGGGTTGGCCTGAGAGCCAAAAAAATTCTGGGTTCAAGGCCTGCCTCTCCCATATACTAGCTCTGTGATCACTCAAGTCTCCTCGAGAGCAAGGTAACTCTCTGATAGTAAATTACAAATAAGTTAAGTTGCCAATCTGCATTCATAGAGGGAGCTGTCCACACTGGAAACTGTCCACAATGTTGAAATCACAAATCCATACTCAAAAAACAAAAACAAACCTTAGGCCAATGTTTTTCCTTCTTCAAAATACATCTCCACAAAACATCATGTGCCCTTTTTTGAAAACCAAAAGGGGATAAGCAAGCCAAAAATACATTCAGGGACTTCCTGACATATTAAAAAGTACAATGATTATTCTTTGAATTTTACATTTCTAAGATATGGTCTTCTGATCATCAACTAAGTCATAACATGGAGCAAAAGGAATCAAAAGGGCAAATGGAGGACAAGAAGTACATCTACTTGCCTCAAATATTACAAAGCCATAGTTTCTGCAATGTTATTTTTTCCCTAAAAATTTCAGCAGACATGCGAAAAAATCAGTTAGGTTGTAGTAACAGAAGCATACTATCCCAAGCCAGGGAGACAACAATCTTAACTATACTCTGCCCTACCCTGACCACATTTGGGTTAACGTATTCATTTTGGAAGCCATATCTTAGGAAGGCCATTGGCAAAATGAAACACATTAGGAGAAAAAGGAACAATCGGATGACAAGATTTGAAACATACAAAGACTAGATGGAAGAATGATATTTATCTTGGAAAAGACTTGAGGCTTGAAGAGGTACACATGATGACTAACTTCAAGCAGCTACAGGAAGGACTGTCAGGGAGAAAGATCAGACTAGTTTTACTTGGTCCCAGAGACTGGAACTAGGAGCATCTAGGAATAAGTTTGGGAGAAGTAGCAGATTTTAGCTCAACATGGCAGTTTAGTTGTATGTTATACAGTGCTGCACTTGAAATCAGAAAGATCTAGGTTCAGATCTCATTTTGGATACTTAGTAGCTGTCTGACTCTAGGCAAGTCACTTAGTATCTCCAAATCTCAGTTTCCTCATCTGTAATATGAGGATATTAATAGTACTTACCTCATAGAGTTGTTGTGAGAATCAAATGAGATACTCTATATAAAATGCTTTTGCAAAACCTTAAAGCACTAAATTAATGTAAACTATATTATTAATAAGTTATTAATGATAATAAAAAAGAAATTTCCCTAACATCTGATACAGCCCCAAGGCAGAATAGATCACCTTGGCAGGGAATGAGTTTCTTCTCATGAGTCTTCGAGTGAGGGCTACATGATAACTCATTAGGGATATTGTAAAGGGATTCTTGTTCAGATAGGGTTTGGCCTCTCAACTTAGATTCTGTGAAATAGATGGGCCCTGCTCAGTTATGATAAATTCTACATTAAGAGTAGTTAAACCGTGGCACTGGTGCCATAGATGGCATGTTAGATGTTCAAGACTAGTGCTTCCACCATTCCCTATGTGTGTTTTCTTTTCTCTCTTCTTCCTTTCTACCTTCTGCTTAGGCCTCAGTTTCCTCAACTATTAAAGGTGGAAAATAATACCTGTAGTGCTCCCTCACCTGATGGTTGTAAAACCAAAACAAGATAAGAGATGTAAAGTGTTAAGCAAACTTGAAAATATTATACAAACACTAGCTGTTATTACTACTGTTATTATTACTACTATTATCAGGTGCTCAGTGGCTTAACTTAAACCCATTCCTCAAATTCAAGGCCACCAACTTCTCTATACCTCCCAAAATCTGAAAGAGAAAAATGGTTTGAATCATTTATAGGAACTAGTACTCTGGTTTTAAAAGTTTGCCTTTTATTTTACCCCTTTATTGATCAATACTTCAATACAATAAAACACAAAAGAACTCTATGTTCTTTGTTTCACAGAGCTTAATAAAAGGCCATTTGTTCCAAGTAAGCAATTCAAATGTATCTAAAACTACAGCAATTTAACACTGTAAAGATCACTCTAATCCACCTCGACTATATCAGTTTCCATCTTTCAGTAGAAAGTTCATGGAAAGCTTCCATACCAAAGGTAAAAATTCTTCTTGATGACTTATAGCAGCATCTGACTCTGACATAGAATCAGAAAAGTTGGCCTCGTTTACATCTATTGCCATAGGCATAAAGAAGTCAGAGGTCAATGAGAAGGCAGAGCTGTAAGTGCTGATTTGGGGACTCAATCCAATAAGTGCACTGGACACATGGTTCATTCCGACAGACAGATGTGGAACGTTAAGAACTCCCAGCTCGCCCTTGTAGTGGTTCTGCAGTTTTTCAGTTTCTTCATGCTGACTATGCTGCAATTCCTGTGTTCTCCTGGATGGTGGATTAAAAAACACAATTGGGCATTACAGCAATTTTGCTCTTTTCTAATAAAACTTTAGTGGGCCCATTTTTTAAAACCTAACAAATCACCCAATTAGTCTGTAATTTATAAGAAGTGTAGCAATTCACACTGGGTATTATCATTATTTCTGTAAAGCAGAAATGAAATTAGGGGTTTTTCCATCACATACATGTCTTCTTATAGTGGTAGCCTACAATGAATTAGCCAGAGGCACAGGTTTTCTATAAAAAGCCTGCTCCTCATGGGAAAAGCAATGGATTTAGGAAGGGAGACCAGGGGAAGAGAAAATGGAAATGGTTGGCTGATAGTTCAGTTAATCTGCTGTGAACCCTACACTGTGGAATACTGTAGACATCATCATCAATCAGGATATGCTTTATTAAAAAGCACAGCACTGCTGCGAAATTTCCAAATAGTTAATGGGCTATATAACTTAATTTTAACATAAAAGTAAGTTTTCTACATATTGCAGAATAAAATGAAAAGCTGCATTTTAGTGTAAATTAAACTTCTAGGACTAAAAAAAAATGTTGCTGAAATGTAATTTTAAAATCTACTTTGGGGGGGTTGCTTTTAAAAAAAACTTTTTTAACAAATCACTTTACCTGTACTCTGAATTCCTGAGCTCAGGCAATATTCTGTGTGTCTCATTAAAAACACGCTCATAGTTATCTTGGCTCACATGAGCAGAGCCTTCCAGCCTAGACTTGGTCTCTATCAAGTCCCTCTTTAGCTGTTGGTTTTCAGTTGCTAAATTATTAATTGCCTTGATGTAACTATCTCGGATTTCTGTTAGAGGAATTTCCATCTCCTAATAAAATGACACAGGCAACAGTCATTTAGAATTTGTACTTTTTGGTATTTGAATAGAGTGCTAACGATTTATGTCTAGGCATAAATTTTTGGACTCGGCCAATGTGGGAATTTGTTTTGCTCAACTATGCATTTTGTTACAAAGGTTTCAACTTTTTCCCCCAGAGACAGAGAGGAGTTGGGAGAGAAAACAAATTTTTACTTAAAATTAAGTAAAGAAATAAAGTCAAAGAAATTGTGGAGGGGGGGATTGCATGATTATGACTGGGGAAATCCATCTTAGAATTTGTATCCATAATTCCAATGCTTCATTTTTAAAAATTCAAGGTTCTATTACAGCCCTTTTAAAAGACTAAAAGACAGTTGAGGGGAAAAAACCTTGCTTTGAACTGTGGAAATTGTCCCTCACATTCTGTAATTTAAACGTGATGACATACGTGAAAATACTTTCTATAACCTATAATACGCTGTATACGCCCAAACTATTACTAGATGAAGGATACCTCAAGTACAAGAAGATCTACTTCTACAGCCACAGTAATGCTATTCCCAAAATATTCCCACGTTCATAGAAAATTCCCATGGGAAGTCAGTGGCCCTATATATGCCTCTTGCTATGCCTGAAGGAAACCTATAAAGCCTGAACTTGAATAGAACTGAGATGAAAGGAAGTTAAATGATGAGAAGCAGAAATTGTGCAGGTGGGAAAACAGGAGCTAAAGAGTTATTTTATTTTTCAAGAAAGAGACTGAGGCACTAGATCAATGGACACTCAGCCTGTGGGAGAGAAGGGCTGAGTTAAACTCCTTATTCTAGAAAGAATGTACCCAAAGTTCTGTTCTTTGGACAAAATGAGATATTTCTGAAAGAATTCTCTGTTTTACAGGGAAGACCTTTGGATACACTATGACTTTTAAAATTCCTACATTAGTTTGAGGCCTACCCTTTCTATATGTAATCAATTGACACATTACTTCCATGACTACAAATTTCATTGTTCTTGAACTTTGGATACTGTGGTTAGGAAGTTTTCCTAACAATTTCTGATAATGAGCCAGGTATATCTTCCCTCTTCTCCCCCACCCCCCTGCAAAAAGACTGAATATTTTCTGTTCATAAATACCATGTTAAATTAGGGTAGTCCCTATTTGGTAACCTCATTTTACTGTGGGTTTTACTTTGGTATTTTCTATTTTTTGAACTAGAATTATATTTCAAAGGTGCACAGTGATCTTCTGGAGTCTAACTATGAGCAGATGGAAAATTAATCAAAACAAAAATGCTTTTCATTTTCTTTGATGCTTGTGAACTTTTAAAAATCTACCTGTGAACCACCTGCACATGCTAATGATGACAAGCCTCCATGATAAGTGATTCACTCAATGTCTTTCATCAAGTTGGCCATATGAAACATGTTCTCAAAGAAAAACATCTACTAGATAGGTGACATCTAGCTGTAGCAGAAAAGTTAACTGCAACTAGCTTTGGGAATTTTAGGATTACCCTGCTCCATCAAAGTTCTGAGTTTGACTATATACACAGCGATTTCGAATATCTCCGGTCTTGCTTGAGCTTTCTGCAGTTTCTGACACTGAATGTTCACCCAGGTCCCACCTACTAACCAGGGGTGCCTTACAGGGTTCAGTCCCGAGCCCTCTTCTCCTTCTATGCTACTTCACTTGGTGATCTCATCAGCTCCCACGGGTTCAATTATCAACTATAGGCAGATAATTCTAATAACATAAGATCTACTTATCCAGCCCTAACCTCTCTCTTGCCCTCCAGTCTTTCATCTCCAGTTGTCTACTGGACATCTTCAATTGGAAGTCCCCTGGACATCTTAAACACAACATATCCAAAACTGAGCTAATTTACCATTCTCTCTAATTTTCCTATTACTTTGGAGTAATTATCCATTATCCTCCCAGTCACCCAGGCTTACATTCTAGGCACGATCCTCTACTTTTCATCCCAATCACTTGTCGAGTCCTGTCAGTCCTAATTTTGTAACATCTCTAATAAACACTCCCCCCCGCCTCCCACCTCTCTGACATGTCACCACTCTGGTGCAGACCTCTATCACGCTCACACCTGGACCACTACACTGGACTTCTGGTTAGTTTCCTCACCTCAAGTCTTTCCCCACTCCAGTCTATCCTCCACTAAACTGTCAAATTGATCTTCCTAAAGTATAAGAATGACCATGTCACCCCTTTATTCAATAAACTCTAGTGGCTGCCTATCACTTCCAGGATCAAATAGAAAACCCTTCTACTTGGTGTTCAAAGCCCTTCACAACTCAGCACCTTCAATCCAATTCCCTTTCTAGCCTTCTTATACCTCACACCCACCTTCCCATGCACTGTGATCCAGTGGCACCGGCCCACGGGCTGCTCCTTGTACAAGACTCTCCATCTTCCAAGTCTTCATTTTCATGGGCTGTCTCCAACACTTGGAGTTCTCCCCCTCATCTTCTTCTGACTTCCTTGGCTTCCTTCAAGTCTCAGCTAAAATTCCACCTTCTATAAGAAGCTGTTTCCTGACTCCCTCATGCCCCCTCTAATGCTAGTACTAATGCTTAACGCTAATGCCCTCTGAAAGCATCTCCAAGTTATCCTGAACCCTTCTTGTTTGTACATAGTTACCTGTACGTTGTCTCCCCCATTAGACTGTGAGCTCCTAGAAAGCAGGGACAGGTTTTTGTCTTTCTTTGTATCCCCAGCTCTTAGCACAGTGTCTGACACATAGTAGGTGCTTAATAAATGATTGCCTTAACCTCACCAATTTAACTTTGTGTGTGTGTGTGTGTGTGTGTGTCTGGAGGTTGCATGATGACAGAAAGATAGCACTTTCTAACACTTCTTTCTGACAAGATTTATAGCTTAAATCATTTTACATTATGTTGTAGGGAAACCTACACTACTTGAATGATTTAGAGTAATTATTTTTCCTTCATCTCATCCTAGCACCCCATACATTGGATGCATAGAATGCAGAAACTGGGAGCCTGCATGACCATCTAAATCCAAAATTTTATAAGTAAAGAAATTTTACTTCTGCAGAAGTAAAATGATTTGTCTGATATGATACAGTGAAAGAATGTCAGAGGCAGGATGAAAACCCAGGTCTTCCAAGTTCTGATGCTGTGCTATGTCTACTGTACCATACTGCCTCAGGCTGGATCATCACTCCAAGGTCATGCTATAGGTAAAACTGCCACTATCTCAATTACTTTAGAGAACAAAGATTAAAAGCAAAATTATAATGATTTAATCCCCTTCCACAACTAAGCAGATAAAAATATGGGATAATCAATATATGTGTAAACATATACCATGCAGTCACTTAACTTCTGAAGATTAGATAGGCAAGAGCAACTAAATAGGCTTTAAGAATTTCATTTACAATCTAAACAGTTGCCAAATCTGATCGACTCTACTACATCCTCTCTTTCATTCATTCCTTTTCCTCCACGTACACGCACACTATCCTGGTTCAGGCTTTGTCACTCCAAAGAGCTGGCTAACACGATATTCCTAAAGCACAACGACCATGTCACTCTGCTGCTCAAACTCCAGTGGCTCCCCAGTACCTCCAGTATTAAATACAAATTCTTCTGTTTGGGCCTAAAGCCCTTCACAATGTGGCTCCATCCTGTGAGAGGCCGCACAGCCAAATGGACGGGGCGCAGGACTCGGAACCAGGAAGACCTAGGTTCAAGTGTCACCTTGGACACTTAATAGCTAGTCACCACCTCCCTAAGTCTCAGTTTCTTCATCCATAAAATGAATCTACGATACTGTGCCTTTTTAGATTATCTCTCCAGGGATCAGTGCACCCTAACGAGCCTCCTTACTGTTCCTTCCACATAACATTCCATTTCCCATCTTCATGCCTCGGCACAGGTGCTTTGCCAAGTCTGGAATGGCATCTCTCCGTACCACCACCTCTTAGAATTCCTAGTTTCCTTAAAAGCTCAGTTTAAATACCATCTCCTACAAAAGTTCTCTTCTGATTGCTCTAGCTGCTGTTAAGTGACCCTCCCCAACTATCTTGTATTTATTTGTATACATTTTGTATACCTATATGTTATTTGTATGCTTATATATAAATGTTGTTTCCTCCTACACAGTATCAGCTCATTAGGATGGGATTTACTGTTATCTTTAGATCCTCAGCTCCCAGCACAATGCCTGACATACAGCATAAAATTAAATACCTGTGGATTGACTGACACAAGAAAAGGTCAAAATCAGAATAAGCAATTTTATAAGAGTTAAAAGAAATTTCCACAGTCAGTGATGAGATATAGAAAGAAAGGATTTAACTAATTCTGATTTTTCAAGCATATTGTGGAATAGGGCTGAAACCCTCTCTGACAGCTCACTGAGTCAAGGTGATAGTTCTGACATTTTTAGGTCCTACAAGCAGAGTGCAACCCTGAGAAGTTTCTACCATGATGGAAAGACTTCAAGTATAGGACCAATGCCAGAGGGAGTGCCTGTTAAGGAAACTTGGAAGGGGTTTTGGTTGCAGCAACTCATGAAGACCATTTATGATATCTTTAGTAAACCTGTATCCACCAAAAGCATGCCCACACCAATGAAATCTCCAGTGAGGCATTGTAGGACAATTTTATACTTAATAATGTGAAATGGCTTATACTAGAAACTGTGAGCCTTTTGCATCACAGCATATGATAGTTTCTATGCAAGGATGAAGAACATTTTCCACTTTTACTACTGCTACTATTTTCTTATTGTTGAAAAAATTAAGTGTAAAATGCTAATTACATTGTTTTCCTCCCTATTTCCTGTCAGATGATTCCACATAGCTATTTTAAAACTTTAGAAAGTAAATACAAGGGGTAGCTAGGGGTCATTGTATATAGTGCTCCGGCCTTGGAGTCAGGAGGACCTAAGTTCAAATTCAGCCTCAGACTTAGTAGCTGTGTGACCCAGGGCAAGTCACTTAATCCCGATTGGCTCACAAAAAAAAAAAAAGTAAATATAAGTATTTATTTACATACCCCTATTGGACCAGATTCCATATTCACCAAGGTCTCAGAAAGTTGTTTATTTTCTAACCTAAGTGCTTCCAGTTGTATCAAAATATCCTAGGTGAAAGCAAAATAAATGAATCAATAAGGATACAAACAGAAAGTTCAAACCCACCATACCCCAAAATCAATTTTATGACACTATTCCTATGTGATGACTCTGGTCTACGAGAAATTTCAGAATGCTCTTTCTGCTGTTGGTGCTTTTGTGGGCAGCAAGCACGAATCTTTCCAAATTTTCCCCCTCCCATTGGGCTGCTAGGCATTACATAAGATTGGTTCCCTTACTAACTGCTGCATCACGCAAGCTTTTTAAACATGGGAACACAAAACCTATTTTCACAGAACTGGGTTTTAGAAAGTCATTTCAAAAAAATGAAATGTTTAAATGTAGCTATAAAGTGATTTATTCCTTAGTAACTATAACAAGGTCATACATAAGAAGGATTTAACTATAATGTAGAACCTCTGTAACTAATTTGGTAGGTAGGTAGGTAGCTTGGTAGTGGTTATTAAGGTGGCAAATTTCAGTTCAAGGTCACAAAGAAGTTAACAGGTACAGCTGGTCTAATAAGGGCATAGGCTATTCCTTGTGGCAGTGATTTCTTTGTTACTGGGAGTATTTAAACAATTAATGACTAGATGCAAGGAATGGCAAGGAATCCTACATGGGGAAGGAACTCTATCTAGGTTGAATGCTAGATACCCTCTAAACTTGCTTTCAACTCTGATTTTATTAACTGGATTTAAAGATGAAGAAATCTGTAAGTTCGACCAAAAAGTTGCACCTATGTAACATTGGTCAAAATAGAAACAATTCAGCTTTTCTGTCTCCTAACCCATTGTCAAAATGTTTTCTTTAAATGAAACAAAGATACTAGCTATTTAAAGATTTTATTTGCTTTTAGTAATGGGACCATTCAAGTAGTTCTTCATATGAAATGATTAGACTCATATCACCTGCAAAGGGTAAAATATACTACAGAAAACCTATTTAACGTAGAAAACGACGGTTTTTCTAGCTCCGACTTCAGGTAAAGGGACATAAATAGTCCCATGCAGAGAAAGATCACTGCAGGTTTACCCTGTGGTCCACAGCTTTGGTTTCTGCTTTTTCCAGCTCTGATCTGAGGGACTGTTCCACTTCAGAGCTAGATTCACTGACTGAAGCAATGGCTATGTCACGCTGATGCAACTCCCGTGTCAGTCTGGAGATTTCCATTTTCATTCCTTCTAAAGCACAGTTGTAAGTCTGTTCATTCTGTAACATCTGTTCTTTTAGCTACAAAGAAAAAAGTACTATAATTAAAAAAAAAGTTTAAGCAGGAATAAATGGCTAATGCAAATATTTATCCTGACTAAAAATAAACTTATAAACTTACATTTTCTAGATTTCTTCTGCAGAAATGATCAATTTTACTTAATTGCCTAGATAACCTGAGATCCCCTGAACGTCAGCTAACTAGAACTCTACTCAGGTCTGAGCTCTGCCATTTATTGGCTATGCGACCTCAATATCTCTGAGCCCATTAAATACAGATTGATTTTGCCACAGATAGATAAGTAGAGCATTACTTTTTTAATCTCCATCTTGTACTGGTTGTTAGAGTCTTCCATCACCTTTAGATCTCCGTATTTTTCTACTAGCTCTTGGCTCAGCTGTTTACATGTTGCACTCACAGATCCCAAGCTAGATGACAGGAGAAAAAAGAAAAAGAGTTCAAGTTTAGGAGCACTTGAATCTTGCTAGCAGCAAAATGGTTTTAACACTCTTGCTGAGGATGATTTCCAAATCCTCACCTCTACCCTTATCTGCTCACCCTCTTTCCAATTCACTAACCTTGAACTGACTCAAGAACGACTCTCTACTTGGATAGTCTATTGATAGAATTATTAAAAAATTAAAAGCCTTCAGTTCAGAATCCTCCCAGTAAAAAAAAAACAAAAAAAAAAAACTAGCACCTATTGCCAGTTTCTTTATTACCATCAAAGGCACCATCATTCTACCTAACCTCAAGGCTTAAAAACTCAAGTTATTTTTGATTCCTGTTTCTCCTTCATAAGAACTGCAAATCACCACCCAAAAAATCCAAACAATGTTTACAAGCCCCAATGTTTACAAGCTTCCTCTCTTTAGTCTCTTAAAAGTCATCCAATTCTCTCTAGTTGTCCACCTACTGCTCTGGTCTCAGTTCTTGTCACTTTACTACACATTAGCTTTCCAACTAACTAGTTAACAGAGGGGATAGAGCATTGTACCTAGAGTCAGGAAGGCATGACCAAGTTCATGAGCCCCAGGGTAAGAACCTCTTAGAGAAATATCAAATTTAACCATTCTTACTTAACACTCAAAATCTGAAATACTTCTGCAAGCTTCATTCATCATCCTTTTACATTATGAATTCTCTGACTCAAAGTGTGTGCTGACTGCCACGGACTTTCTAACTCCAACTTCTATTCTTTATATGTATCATTTTTCCCTTACCTAAAAGATGCTCACCCACCATCATCCATAATTCTCCCTTCAAGATACTCAAATCTTATTTCCCATCAGTAAGATTCCCCTAACTAATCTTTTTTCTTATGAACATTCACAAATTGGTGTGTGTGTATATATATACATTTATAAAAATAAAGTGTTGACCACATCATAACTGTAAGATTGGCTAACATGACTAAACAGGAAAATTATAAATGCTGGAGAAAATGTGGGGAAAAAATGGAACACTAATGCATTGTTGGTAGAGTTGTGAACTGATCCAATCATTCTGGAGAGCAATTTGGAACTATGCCCAAAGGGCTATAAAACTGCATACCCTTTGACCCAGCAATACCACTTCTAGGTCTGTATCCCAAAGAGATCATACAAATGGGAAAAGGACCCACATGCACAAAATCTTTGTAGCAGCTCCTTTTGTGGTGGCAAAAAATTGGAAATTGAGAGGATGCCTATCAGTTGGGGAATGGCTGAACAAGTTGTGGTATATGAATGTAATGGAATACCATTGTGCTGTAAGAAATGATGAGCAGGCAGACTTGAGAAAAATCTTGAAAGACTTGAATGAACTGATACTGAGTGAAGTGAGCAGAACCAGGAGAACATCGTACACAGTAACAGCCACAATGTGTGATGGCAAACTTTGACAGACTCATCTCTTCTTAGCAATGCAAGGACCCAAGACAACTTCAAAGGACTCATGATGAAAAATGCTGTCCACATCCAGAAAAAGAACTATGGAGTTTGAATGCAGATCAAAGCATATTATTTGCTCTCTCTCTCTTTTCTTTCTTTTGCTTGTTTGTTTCTTCTTTCTCGCAGTTTCTTTGATTGGTTCTAATAATTTTTTACAGCATGACTAATGTGAAAATAGGTTCAACATGAATGTATATGTAGAGCCTATATTAAACTGCATTCCATCTTGGGATGGGGGGAGGGGAGAGATGGAGAGAAAATTTGGAACTCAAAAGCTTATAGAAGTGAATGCTGAAAACTAAAAATACATAAATTTAAAAAAAGGAAAAGAAAAGGAAGTGGCAAACCTTAAAAAAATGGGATGAATTCTCAAATTGCTAAAATTTAAGAGGATGCAGTTATCCTTTTAAAAGCACCTGTCACCACAACATAGAGAGAATAATGTCAATTCGAATATGTTTAATTACTAATAGCTGAAGAAAAAAGTGTTTGATAAGTTTAAAACAACACCTACCTCTGTGATTTAAATTAGAGATGACATATCTGAATTTTAATTAAAATCAGACTTAAAGCCAATGGACAGCAAATAAAGCGAGTACGTCCCTGAGGCAGTTCCAAGTCTGCCTTCTAATCTATAAAATTTAGATAATAAATTAAACAAAGCAAAAAAAAAAGAGTGTTGTGTTTGTGTATTTGTAAACACATCATTAAGCTGATTATAACTATTCTCAAATGTTTCATATCTAAGTTTTGACTCATTCAACTATACTATAAACTTCTGAAGAAAAGTTATGACATCCAGTTCATATCCTCTTCTTACCTGTTTCATTTATGACTATACTCTAGGCTATATAACAAACACTAATCAACAAGATCCTTGGTGTCTACAGTGACCCAGCCAATTTCCAAGATAAATAATCATTCAAAATTGCTAGGTGTGCTCAATAAAATCAAGAGACTAATTCTAGAAAAACAGCAAATCTCTCAATTTCTTGACTTTTCTGAAGGTTTTATTTACAATCTTAATTAATTACCTAAACAAAACACCACTTAAATATTATGCCAAAAATGACTGCAAATACTTGTACTAGTAGATTCTTTATTTGCCTTTTGAATTTAAAAAAAAGTAAAATCATTATCATTTTTTATACTAACTTGTGCCACAACTAACAAATTGCCCATTTGTAACTATCCCTATCATAAAATCAAGTCTCAGGAACCTAATAAAAGTTTAATAAAATGAGGATTACAGACTAAAAGCAAAACCATTGAAGAAAGTATGACAAGATCTTAAATTTCAGCTTGAAGAGATTTTCTGTTTCATAAAAGGTAAACTGACAGATGCTTCAAAATAATTTGTGACCGAAGACTATCACAAATATTCCAAGACTAAAAAAGGAAAAGGAAAAATAGAGAAATTATATGGGAAATTAGAAATTGTATAAGATAGATTTATTAAAAATACTGATTACAATGAAATCCTATTATTGGATTTCTTATATACTCACACTATCCCTGACACTAACGATAATAATCCTCTAAGAGTAAATTATGTAAGCTTTTCAAGAAATTAAAAATTATCATGGACTACCATCTCCACTCAGAGACATTTGACTCTTTAAATATATGAAATATATTTAATTGCCCAAAGATTAAATTATAACTATTGTAGGGCAAACCCCAATCTACAATAGCTCCCTTTCTATTCATTCCTAACCAACAAACATGGCTCACTTGGCTCTCCCACTTCTTTATTATCTACTGACAATCAATTATCTCTTGTTTCTGGTTTCTATCTGTAATGATATTAACTCTATAAAGGATCTTACATGTTTTTAAAACAATTAACTATTTTGAGCTATGACTATCACAGCAGAGCTTACAAAAATCTAATGACTTAAAATATTTAATGTCAGTATGGACAAACTCGGTCAAACATTTTTCCATATAATTTCATCTACCTGCCTTCAAGACGAGATACCTCTGCCTGCAGAAGTTCTTCACTGGTCTGTGGAAAATCCAACTGTGAAAAAACATTCTCTAGGTCCATCTGGCCTTTACAGGACGAAACGTTTTCTTGAAGGCTGACCTCCAGTGACCTATACAAAAACACAGGATCATTCCAGAAGGCCTTTGCATACAAGCAAGGCACAACTTGGATAATTTAAAATATATATATCTATATCTATTTTTTTTTTGGTTAGGCAATGGGATTAAAAGTGACTTGCCCAGAGTCACACAGCTAGTAAATGGTATGTGTCTGAGGTCGGATTTGAACTCAGGTCCTCCTGAATCCAGGGCTGGTGCTCTATCCACTGAGCCACCCAGCTGCCCCCCAAATATTCATTTTTTGATGGTCAAAACTCTGTCTGGAACTTTGGACTTTCAGCTCTACAATTCCAATATTCCTAAAATGTACATTTGGTAAATTCTTTTTCACAATGCACTCCTTGCAACCCTGATAGGTTAAAATGAAATTTCAAAAAGTTAATAGTTTACTCACCTTTCCTTAGTGACTAGGTTTAATGTTTTTTAAGAGATTAAAAACAAACAAATAAATTGAGTGAGGACATCCTCTTTAATTAACACCTATTTTCTTTTTCTCCAAAAATCCTTCTATCCCCAAATGAGTTGTAAAAGAACAGAGTTCTCTACCAGGAAAATCACTTTTTAAAAACTGCATTTAAGTGAAGAAAAAGAGTAATCCCATTAGAAGCATCTAATAACTTTCTAGCAATATGTACCAGGACTAGTTTTCAGAATAAAAATGAATACGTAAAATTTTACCTACACATTGAGGTACTTATAAAGTAGGAATTATCTCGGTTTGCTTCAGACCACGCGTGATCTTTTGGCCATTCTGTAACAAACTAAAGGTAACCGCAAGGACCAGATGGACAAACAATGAGCACAGAAGCCTCTTCTTGCTGGGAACCAGGTTTGACTATCAAATTCATCATCTTTTATTGATCTGCCCCTCAAAAAACTGGAGGTCTAGTTCACTGTTTCAAACACCATTACTTATTAATCTCATAGCCTACTGTCTATACTATAACTACTTGCCACAGTGCTTCTTCCATCATTCCCTGCTCTGCATAATTAGATGCTAATTTCTATTTCTCATTCCCATGGTTATCTCCTATACTGAGCAAAGAGGAGGAAAAATTAATAGTTCAGACCACCTCAAACTCTTTTATATTTCTACTCCATTAGTTACATTACAGTTCATGTACGAGGTAGCATATGATCCCAAAGATCAAGCACAGGGACTAATTTCTCACTAGCCACTGTATCTCAGAGCCCATTGTTAATTTTCACTAATAGCCAATCAAGGTTAGGCCACATTCCAGCTACAGAGATGGTCTTATATGGGAGATTTAACTTCCCAAATGAAAGGCTCTTCCAATCACAGGCAGCCATTTTCAGCTACTTCCTGCTTCTGCTTCAAGAGCAAAGTCAACTCACACCTAGCTGAAGCAAAATGCTGTTAAGTACTTCCCCCACTCCATTCCTTGTTTTAGTTTTATTCCTTGATTAGTTTTTATTAATAACTCACATTTAAATGGGACTTCAAAATTGGCAAAGCATTTTCTTCACAATAACCCTGAGAGTGAGATAGCCCCATTTTATAGACAACCAAAACTGAGGCTCAGGAAAGTTAAATGACTTGTACAAGACTCTTCAGCTAGCCAGTGTCAAAGCCAAGACTTCAATTCAGCTCTCTTGCCTTCCAGTCCAGTGCTCTTTCCACTATACCACTCTGCAATATTGATTGTGCAGCTAACACTGTTATTTAGCTTCCATAAAACAGAAGCCAAACTATACTTGTTCCTTGGCTCAGGAGAAGAAGAACATATTTCCTGGTGTCTCTAATCCTAATCCTTTTACCTATGCTGGGTTTCATTTGTCCCTATCTCCCAGATGCCCTCCAGTGATCACCTACAACACACTAACTCACCTATTAAGGATGACTCTCAGGTGCTATAAATAACAGCCTACCACTGACAAATACTGAATCACTGAGATAATAAAATGTACCTGATAAAGTCTGTAGAATGTAAATTTTTAGCTACATTTGTAAGTTTATTCTGTAATTTCTCCTTCTGAATTATTGAACCATTGATGAAATCCTCTTGAGACTGAACAGTCACCTCCAACTCCCTTTTTTCTCCTTGTAGAACCTACAGAAAGAATAGTTATTAATTATACCAGAAAAGTCACCTAACTGGACATATTCTTTGACCCAGTGACATTGCTGGGCAAGTCAAAAACAAAGGGAAAGGTCCCATACGTATATCAAAATATTCATAATGGCACTTTTGTAGTAGCAAAGAAACTGGAAGAAAAGTGGGTGTCCATCACCTGGAGAATGTCTGAACAAACTGACATATAGTAATGGCATAGGAAATAATGAATACTTATAAACTTGGAAAGACTTATATGAATTCATTCAGAATAAGGTAAGCAGAATTAAAAGAATAATTTACATTATGACCACAACAACATAAAGGAAAATTACACTCAAAAACTTCAGAACTCTGATCAAAACAGTGATCAACTGTGACTTCAGAGGAAAGACAATGAAGCATGCCTCTTGCCACATGTCAGAGAGATGGTAGATTATAGGTGTAGGACAAGGCATACGTTGCTAGACATAGCTAATACGATAATTTGTTTTACTTAAGATTTATTACAAAGGAAGGTTCTGTTGTGGGAGCAGATAAGGGAAAATGGTAGAGTTACTGAGAAGTGACAGCAATGTTGAAAAACCCTCAAAAAACATTTAAAAACTGATATTATTTACACTGTCCCAAGTAATAGGTTTAGACAGTTTTATAACTCATCAAAAAAGATAGAAAAAATAAAACTACATGCAGTGGTGTTTAATTAAATATTTATTATCTTTCCTGGGGAAAAATGCATATATGACATATTTTAATATACATTATTAACATTTTCATCATCACTTTCTTAAGTCTGGACAATCAAAACAATAACTCAAGTAACGATTTGTAGGGTTTGCCAATTTCCGAGGTGTAAATGATCAGACTTAAAATTTAACAATCAGTTCTTATGAGCCAATTCAAGCAGGATCCAGTATATCCCGAGCTACACACCCATGCAGCAGGCATGGATTCAGTCACTTTATCAACAACAGGGTAGGGGAAGACAAAGAAGAGTTTTAAGAACTAAAGTATGACTTCTTTTTCCCTATTTACTGAAAACAAAGTTAAGTTATTGTCCAACTGCAGTAATTACACAGACCTTTAATAGTTTTTCAGTGTGCCTCAGTTCTTCTTCAAGTCGTTGCTGTTCCTTCAGTAGAGTCATGTTGCTTCCAACCAAATCATTTACCCTCATGTTGAGACGCTCTATTTCCAATTCATTGGCGCATATGGTATCATTGGCCCTTTCTAGCTTACTGGTTAAATGCTGAATTTCAGACTGGCTGGAAATCTCCACAGATTCCAGCTTCTGTTTCCGATTGGTGAGCTGAGCCTAGAAACATGGGACTATTGATGAGTAAAAGTGAAATAGTCAAAACCAAAATTCTAATATGAAGCTAGCCCACTCTCTGACAAAGAGGTGGCCCTTCTTGCTAAGGCCAACCCCTCTGGTTCCATCCCTTCCCTCTTCTCCAGCAGATTGTCCCAACTATTATCACCTCTTGTTCTCTACTCTTTAATCTCTATCTACTGGTTCCTTTCCGGTTGCCTATAAATATGCCCAAATTTCCCCTATTGATCAACCCTCACTAGATTTTACTTCCCGGCTACTATCCTCTTTGTTCTCTACATTTCCTCAACCAAACTCCTGGAAAAAGCTATCTATGCTCACAGCTTCCACTGCCTCTTTTCTATCTTCTAAATCTGCTCATTTATAAACCCCATTCAATTCAAACTGCTCTCCAATTTACCAAAGATCTCTTAATTGCCAATTCAGTTCAAAAAAACTTTTTAAAGCACCTTCTATGTGCCAGGCACTATGCTAAATCTCATGGCTTTTTCTTAATCCTCATTCTTTTCAACATCTCTCCAGAATTTGACACTGCTGACAACCCTTTCCTCTTGGATACTCACTCCTCTTTGGGTTTCTGGAATATAATTTTCTTGGCTCTCCTAACTACACGATTATTCCTTCTAAATTTTCTTTGTTGGTTCATTATTCATGTCATGCCTACTAACTATGGGTATACCCCAATTCTTTGTCCTGAGCCCTCTTCTCTTTTCTCTCTCCACTCTCTCACTTGGTGACTTCATCCGCTCCCATGGGTTCAATTATCATCACTATGCAGATGATTCCTAGATCTGTAGGAGCCCTCATCTTTCTCCCAAGATCCAGTCTGGCATCATCAACTGCCTTCTAGATATTTCATTTTGTTGTTGTTGTTGTTGTTGCTAGGCAATGGGGTTAAATGACTTGCCCAGGGTCACACATATAGTAAGTGTCTGAGGCCACATTTGAACTCGGGTCCTCCTGACTCCAGGGCTGGTGCTCTATCTACTGCGCCACCTAGCTGCCCTTAGATATTTCAAACTGGATATCCCATAGCCACCTCAAATTCAACATGTCCAAATAGGACTCATTCTTTTTCCATCCCAAACACAGCCCTCTTCTGAATTTCTCTATTACTATCAAGGGCACCATCATCCTCTCGGCCACCAAGGTACATAAACTCAGTATTGTCCTTGACTCTTCACTCTCTCTTCACCCAAAGTGAGAGACAATCAGTTATCAAATCTCGTCACTTCTCTCTCCTTATCATTTCCATATATGACCCCTTCTCTAATTCAGGGTATTTCTTCTTTGGATTATTGCGAAGGTCTCCTAATTGATCTCACTACCTCAAATCTCCAATCCATTCTTCACACAGCTACCAGTTACTTTCCTAACGTGCAGATTTAACCATGTTACCTGGCCCCATTCAATAAACTCCAGTGGCTCTCTGTTCCCTCTAGAATCAAATATAAACACCATTTTGCCTTTAAAGATCTTCATAATCACACTCAATCCTATCTTTCCAGCATTCTTACATCTTTCTCCCCTCCACACATTTTCCAGTTCAGTCAAACTGGCTTACTTACTGTTCTTCACATACATTTCACTTCCCATTTCCATGTCTTTGCACTACCCATTTCCCATGTCTGAAATACTTTCCTTCTTACTCTCCTCCCACCTCTTGAAATCCTTGGTGTCATTCACTCAGCTCAGGCACCACCTTCTCCATAAGGCCTTTCCTGCTCTCCTACCCCTAAGAGTTAATGTCTTCCCCTCCTGTATCTGTTATGCATAGGTTTTGTATATGCTGATATACAATGATAAACTGTATGTACACATACATACACACATACATACACACTCACATCTCACCCACTAGAATGTAAATTCTGTGAGAGAAAAGCCTTTCACTTTTGCCTTCTTAAAAAAAAAAATTCCTACTATGCCCAAAGGGCTATAAAACTGTGCATATCCTTTGACCCAGCAACACTACTTCTAGGTCTATATCCTAGAGATCATACAAATGGGAAAAGGACCCATATGTGCAACAATCTTTATAGTAGCTCTTTCTGTGATGGCAAAGCATTGGAAATTGAGAGGATGCCCATCAGTTGGGGAACAGCTAAACAAGTTGTGGTGTATGAATGTAATGATGAGCAGGCAGACTTCAGAAAAACCTGTAAAGACTTATATGGACTGACGATGAATGAAGTGAACAGAACCAGGAGAATGTTATACATAGTAATAGCAACATTGTGCGATGATCAATTATGATAATTAGCTCTTCTCAGTGATACAAGGATTTAAGACAATTCCAAAAGACTCATGACAGAAAATGCTATCCGTATCCAGAGAAAGAACTATGGAGTCTGAATGCAGATTGAAGCATACTATATTCACTTTTGTTTTTTCCTTCTCCTGGTTTTCCCTTTTGTTCTGATTCTTCTTTCACAACATGACCAATGTGGAAATATGTTTAACATGATTGTACAAGTATAACCTATATCACATTGTTTGCTGTCTTGGGGGGGAGTGGGAAGGGAGGGAGAAAAATCTGGAACTCAAATTTTTAAAAAAAAATGAATGTTGAAAATTATCTTTACATGTAAGTGGGAAAAAATGAAAGACTATTAAGTGGGAAAAAAAAGATCCTTAGCACATGGCACAGAGTTCTAATGCACAGTGCAGGGGCTCTTAACCTGGAGTCCATGAACTTTTAAAAAAACATTTTGATAACTGCTGTATTGTATGTTATGCATTTGAAAACATTCTGAGAAGGAATACGTGTACGTGTATATGAATATATTCAAATCTGCCATGAGATACTGTTTCAATTCAAACACATTCAAACACAAAATTCAAGTCAAACACATAATAGTTTTTTACCAAACGCACTTGCACAGTAGTAAGGGCTTTTGCGGTGACACATATGAGAGACTGAGCTAAATATAGCCTATCAAGATGGTGTTTTCCATGTACAACTGCCCTGAATTTAGTACCTATACAAGAAATCACATCATGTAAATACAGCAAAGCAAAGGAGAGTGTTGCACTTAAGTCTGGAAGACCTCGATACAAATCTTACTGCTGACCCCTCACTATGTGACCCTGAGGAAATTATGTGACTTCTACATTCTCCAGGCAACTTCTTAGGACTTATGTATTATATAACAGATGAATTTCAAAATGGAAGGAGCTCCAACAATAGAATTTCATCACAGTGAAGAAATAACATCCTTTGTAAATTCATGTTAAATAGGTCACATACTACTGTAGAAGCATTTAAACCAAATCTATACAAACTCACACTATTTATTTGGATTATATTGACTAAATTACTCAGCAATATAGGCTTTAGCTCCTGAAGATTTTATTGAATTACAAGTTCTTTGTGGGTTAGGACTGTTTCTAAAGGCCCAAATATTTGATAGCATTTTTGCTCTAAGGAACAGATCAGGCACCCACAAATTCTGCATAAAAGGATGAATTTAACATTCAAGTTAGTATGTGAAACTGTCATTCATGTATCAGTATGGTCTCTACTTATTTGCTTTATATTCTTGCTGCTTTGACTCTTGGTTTATCCTGATGATTCCTCAATATAACTTCTGTTCTTGGATACTGCATGTTGCCCTAATCGATTTTCTTGATGTTCTAACTTCCATCCTTTCCAATAGAAATGACACTTCACATGATCCTAGATCTGCCTGCAGCAGCCAGACAAAATAAATCTAAATGTGCTTCCACATGACAGACCTTCAAGTATTGGAAGATGGCTATTATGTCTTACCAAGTTTTTTTCTTTTCCTGGCTAACTACCTAACTGCCCCTTCAAATAATCTTCATATGACATAGTTTTAAGATGCCTCACCCACCTGGCTACTCACCAGTTAGTTAAGTAATGTTCTACTAAATATTGTGCCCAGAATAAACACCTAAGTCTAGCTAGGGTCTGAATAGAAAAGTCCAACGAAATAATTTCTCCCTTCATTTCTGGATACCATTCATCTATTAGCGTCCTTTATGACTTTTATGGTACCTACTCTGTACTGCTGACTCACATTTAACTTACAGTCAGTTATTATCTTGACATGATTCTTTATCTAGTCATGTCTCTCCTATTATGTATCTGATGTATCTGAATAGTTCTCTTTTCTACCTAAATTCAGGATTTTATGTTCATCCTTAATAAGTTTCATTTTGTTAAATTCTGACAGTTATTCCAGATGGCATATATTCTTAAGATTAAGTTACTAACACACTGATTTAACAGAAATGCTTAATTCTATTATCTTTCATTAGCACATTTAAAAATGAGAATGACACATAAAATGTTCAGTTCACTTTAAAAGTTAAACATTTACCACCAATAGACTTTTTTTTTAAACTAGAAATCAGAAATGTTATCTGTTGTCTGGCCAGCCTGTATGATATTGGCTTCAGAAGGGGATCGATTAAAAGAACACCTTTATAGCAGTATAACAATCAGAAGAGACAGTGACTTAAAGGAAGAGGAAAGCAGAAAAGTAAAACACAAGATGGGAGAAAAAGAGACAAAAGTTGAAGGTTGAGGAGCTAAAAGCAGCAAAGGAGGTAAGAGGGAGAATACAAGACGTGAGGCATTTTTTGTATTCTTTATTTTGTGTGGTCCCAAATGCACAAAAATGTGAAAGCTAGGTCATCAAGGGCACCATGACACAAGCAACAAGGACTTGCCTTAAGAGATTCCCAGTATAAATCAATGGCCCTTGCCAGCATCAACTCTTCACAAAGTCTCCATCAGTGTCAGCTCCAATTCCATCAGTACAAACTACCTCTTTGCAGGAGTTTCTACTCAGCAATAGCTTCAGGAACCCATTAACAGTAAAATTCTCAGCAAGAATCTGCCAGTGTCTGTTCTGATAAGAGTCAATATGAGCTACTACCAATATTGTAGTCACTTCAATTAACGCTATTACATTAATACTAACAAAATTAAAAAAAAATTTTTAAGTCAAAACTACTGCTTGATTCATTTCCAAATCTTAAAAGAAGGTTGTGATTTGAGTAAGATGCTTTTAAAATGCACACAATTAGCGATGAATTTAGAATTTGTTCCTGAATGGTTAAAAATGGCTTGTCAGCTAAGTATTTCAAAAGAAATGTTCTAAACTCTTTAATGTTCTAATTTTAGGAGGTAAAGATTTTGTGTTTTGTGGCAATGATCTTGGTTTTTAAAATATTTCTTAAATTTTCCCCAAATATTTCAATGTATAGTATTTGCATCCTTCTTATTCTCTCCCTACTACCATTTAGTTTACTGATTCAAACTGAACCTGTATTTTGGAATTGTCACCAATTTGAATGGAGTTTGTTTTATCTTAGACACAGGTAAAATGTCTGACGTAGTAACTGCTTAATAAATACTTGTGGATCAATTCTCATCAATTCAGGAAAATATTCACTTATAAAATACACACACACTTCTCAATTAACCATATTAATCAGAAAAACAGTGTGTTAAAAGTTATTCGTACATTTATATTTAGCTCAGAAAGTGAGATATTTGAATATAAGTAAAAACAAGGCTCCTTTTCCCACATTCCCTGCAAATACCCAATTTCCTGAGAGATAGGGAACATAAAAGGCTACAACTAATTACCCAGTATTTATTAATAGACAGTGGTCCAACTCTCTATACTGGAGCATTTGGCTGGACAACTGAAGGCAAATGCCCTTCATACATAAAGAATCTGCCCCTTATTCTCCAACCATGTATGTCTATGTCTGGACATATCCCTTTACTCACTTTTCAAATAGCCTATTACGAGCACATGATACTCTTCCTAATGTCTGCCCAAAGAAGGATATATAAGAAGATCCACTGGGCCCAGTTACAGTTGATTAGTTGAGTAGAGAACATATATCACACGTAATCATTCCCTGTTACTCAATTCCCTATCCTTAAAATGACAGTTTTAAATCTCAGATACTTTGGTTCTCTATAGTGCTGTGTATAGTGCTCTGTAGTGCTCTGTTTGCCTTACTGAAATGAATGAAACAATCACATTCTTCAGTGTGAGGTTGGGGACCTTAAAATAGACCTTTCTGGCCAAGAATCTCAAAGAAAATAATGAAAAATGTGGTAAGGAGAGAGGCCTAGCAGTACCAGATCTCAAACTATACTACAAAGCAGTAATTATTAAAATGATTTGGTACAGGTTTAAAAAACAGAGGTCAGTGAAACATACTAGATACACAATAGCTAAAAGCAAATGAACCTAGTAACATGACAAATCCAAAGACTCCAACTACTGGAATAAGGAGTCATTACTCAACAAAAACTTCTGGGAAAAAATGTTAACAGTCTGGCAGAAATCAGATATAAAGCAAGATCTCACACCATATACTAAGATAAGCTCCAAATAGATACATGACTTAGACATAAAAGATCCCATCACACACACACCAAAAAAAAAAAAAATAAGGTATGGAAGAATATGCTTTTCAAAACTACAGACAAGGGAAGAGTTCATGACCACCAAAGTAAGGGATAGAGAAGACTGGAGAAAATAAAATATTCAATTTTGATCACACAAGGTTTTAAAAAGTTTTTGCACAAACCAAACCAATGCAGTTAAAATTAGAAGGGTAACAGTTCACTGGAGGAAAACAATCTTTGTAGAAAGTTTTTCTGATAAAGGTCTCCTTTCCAAGACTTAGCAGAAACCGATTCAAATTTAAATGAACAAGAGCCATTTCCCAATTTGTAAATGAACAAGCAGTTTTCCAAAAAAATCCAACCTATCAACCATAAAGTGGAAAAAAAAATTCCAAATCACTTATGGCTAGTTAAATGGATATTTTAAAAACTCTGAGATTACACCTCATTCACCAGATTAGCAAAACTCACAAAAAAAGAAAATGACAAATGTGGGAAAAGCTGCAGGAAAACAGGCACATTAATGGACTGTTGGTGTAGCTGGGAATTATTCCAGGCATTTTGGAAAGCAATTTGGTGTTATACCCCCAAATTTAATAAATTGTACATGTTCTTTGACCCAGCAATCGAAAAAAAAATTATTTGGAAAAACAAAAAGAATATAGCAGCTATTTTTGAAATGGCAAATAACTGAAATCTAAAGGAGTACCCATTAGTTGGGAAATGGTTGAACAAATTATGGTATATCAATGTAACAGAATGTTACTGTACAAATGACAAGGGGATTTTTTTTGGAGAAATCTGAGAAGACTTGTATGAACTAACACAGAGAATTGAGCAATGAAACCGAAGAATAATTTATGCAATAACAATACCATAAAGACATACAACTTCGAAAGAGTTAAGAATTCTGATCAATGTAATGACCAACTGTAATTTCAAAGGACCAATGATGAACCACGCTACCTATCTCCTAAAAGAGAGGACCCCAAATGTAAAAGGAGATGTACATTTTTGCACATGGCCAATGTAGGAATTTGATTTGCTTGACTATGCATATTTGTTACACAGGTTTTCTTTTATTTTTCCTTTTAGAAGGAGAATCTGGAAGGAGGAGGAGGATGAGAGATAGGAATGCAGGAGGGAAGGAAGGAAAGAAGGAAATTAAAGCATTTTTAATGCAGAGAAGAGAACTGAAGGAAGATAAGAAGGAATCACAAACAAATAAGACAATTTTAAAAGTTCTGTGTTGACTTTATTATATACTTAAAATGAGAAGCGAGCTGTTCATAATAAGAGACTTATAGTTGCACAATCCTCTTTTTCTGTTCTATGTATATGGAAATGCTCACTTTATTTGGTGTTTGTTAAGTTCAGAATATAAAAATTAAAATAAAAAACCCATACCTTTCTGAGGAAGTAGAGATAAAAGAATATATAGTAGAAGATAAGAACAAGTATCTTTGAAATTTTTGAAATTAACAATATACCAGAACCCTGTATAAAGGTAATGCAATTGTAGCCCTAAATCAGAATTTTTTTTCCTACATTACATTTTTGGGAGCAGCAGAGAAATAACCCCTCCAAAAGCTAATATTCTGGAATTTTTTTTTTAACAACAACAACAATTTTTTAAAGGATTTGGCATCCACTCAGTCCAATTTTGTATAGCTGCAACATTTACAATATTATCCAATGTGAATTGACTTTACAATGATGACTCAGAAGCATCACTAAATTGCAAAAAGGTTCAATTAGGTTCAGATATTTACTAATTTTTGAAAGATTTAAAAAAGACACGAAACAAAGATTCTTCTAGTTTTGTAATATGAAATCACTTTTTGTAGGAAAATAATTAATTAGACTAGGCCTAAGTAGTACAAATCAAACCTTTTCATGTGGAGGTTTTGTTTATAAGTCTTTCTCTTCTCCTCCCCACTAGGGGCTATAGTAAACAAAGGTTTCATTTATATCAACAAAGTACTTAAGTGCAATTTCCAATCAATAATATAAATAATCTACTGATGAATGATGAAGAAATGACAGTAAAAACTGACCTCCACTAGAGTTCTACCATCCCATGAAAGGGAAAAGAATGTCTACTAAGCTATGGAGTTCCAGACAAAGGAAGGTAGCTTCAGTCATTTGGTTCAGAGGAATGTCTTCATTACTCCCAGTAAATGGAGTTACCCCACCATAGCTTGGCTCAATTGGACCTGTCTCTGCTATCCCTAGAAAATGTATCAGTCTTCAAAGATGTTTGCATTTCAAGCATGCTACAGAATGAAAACAGCTGAAAAGCACTACCTTAAAACACTGCTTTTCACACTTATTTTGAGCAGCCCTCCATAAAAAAAGTCCATAACATCTTTTAGATACAATCACTGATGTAGATTACAACCAGTTAAAACTGATTTGCCTGGTTTCTGTTTCAGTATTATAATGTACATTAAAATGCTGGAAAAGAGAGAAGGAATCTATACTACTAGGATTTCTCCACTTCCAAATGTGACACTGTACAAAACCTAATTACTTACTTGTGATAAAGAAGGAATAAAGTCATAGAAAAAGTTGATTCATCCTATTTTCTATTTTTCCCATTCTAGTAACTCAAGCTAGTAATAAGCAAAGTCTATGGGATAAGAGATAAAAAATGGAGAAAGGCTGACGCTCCTGTAGCCACTACATAAATATAACCGTCCAAAGTGGAAAAGCAGAATCTACTTTGGCATGTAGTTATGTACCAATTAAATGAAAATGACCCAAATGTTACATCACTTTTTAAATGTTTTAACCCTACCTGAATAATCTCTGACTGTTCAGCCAAAGCTTTCCTTTGTGCCTCCAGAGATGCCACCTGTTGCTGATAAATCATTCTCTGCTTCTCCCATTCTAGTGATTTCTGGCGGAACTCCTGCAAAGGCAACCAGGACAGTTGACTTGTAAATGCATTGCCTCTTGTCACTACTTCCAAGTTTACTCTTACTCTAATTATTACCCCCCACCCCCATCCCTTGACAGAGGTGGACCTTTTTCCACAGCAGGGATGCCATTATTCAGTCATCCGATGTAGTTATACAGTAATTCTCATCTCCTCATATACTGTGCCTCTGGATTTCTGTCTTCTCAAATTTAACACTCTATTTACTGCTGAAGCATATGATGTAGGGATGCTGAATGCTATTTGACTCATGTCTAGTTTTATAAATTTGCTGCCACCTAAGGGTTAATTGTCATAATTTTCTAGTTTTCAAGGAAAAGTTGTCAAGATAAAATTTACTAATTCTCTTTTGAACCAGTTATCAGTTATTTATGACTCAAATATTAAACAATACATGGAAAATGAGAATTCAACAGTAACTAAAATACCATGAAGGCAGCCAGCCTCTGGTGGTTATGGTTATGGGAGCAATTTGAAGCACCAAGTAAATTCACCTAACAGCCGTAACTTTCTCCAAGGTACCCTGAGTTTGCAAGTCTCATCTACTCTATGTCTCTACATTATAAGTTTATAGATGTTAGAAAGGTAAAGAGCAAAAATTCCAGGTACTAGTGATGAGTTCCTTAGCATTCTTAGTATTCCAGAAGCTGCTATAGCTAGGAGAATTTTTAAGTACCCATAATAAAGATGAAGAAGGAAGAAGGGAGTCACCAAGGAGCAGACAGTTCCAAATGAGTACAAATCTTAACAATGCTATAAGACATGTTCCTCTGTCTTTCATGTTCTTGCCAGTTAGTACAGTCACAGAGAGCTGGGTGACCCAAAGTAATCCTCCATTGGCAAAATAGTGAAAGAATATTTTTGAGCCTCAAAATTTTAAATTCATAAAATTTTACACTGAAGATCACTTAGAAGATCACTGAGTCCAACTTCCTCATTTTACAAAGAATGGTTCAAGTTACTTAAAAGTAATAATAATACAGTAGCTTACAATTACATAACATTTTCCTCATTTATAAAGTGCTTTCCAAAACCTGCCATTTGATCCTCACAAAAATCCTTGTATAATTACTGTTATTTCCACTTTAGGGATAAGGAAAGAGATTTAGGAGACAAAATGGCACGGCCAGGCCCAAGGTCAGAGCCAGGGCTCAAACTCAGGTCCTCTATGACCAAATCAGTCTGTTCCTCTTCCCCCTTACACTGCACTGCTGCCAAGCCAAACAGCAGTCAAATGGGGGCCAGAACCCAGGTTTTCTCATTCTCAGAGCAGTGATAAACTGCATAAGAGAAAGAAGAATCCCAGTCTGGTGCCTCTGTAAGAAGTTCTTCCTCTTGCTTGTCTGAGTAAGAACTGGCATCACAGAGGAAAAGCCTCGGAAACCAGAGATCCACCTGAAGTCCATATGACAGTTGACTAAATGAAATTAAAAGGGAAACTGTGAGACTCTGTGACCTTTACTTACCATGTTTTATGGAACAACCCAATCTCTGTCTGTACCAGTCTCCTCTTTTGTAAAACAGGGATAATAATGGCACCTACCTCTCAGGGTTGTTATAAAGATAAAATGAGAGAGTATTTCTAAAGCATCAAATAAATGCTACTACTATTATGTCTCCCTCACCATATATTCATATTAATTCTTTAATTCTTTTCTTCCCATTTTACATTTTCATAACTATCTATTTTCTATGTACAAAGCACAATTCTAGGTGTTGGGGATGTAAAAAGATTAAACAAAGGATATGGTCTCCACCTTCTTAGACTTTAAAAATCTAGTGGGGGTGAGGGAGACATGCCACATGCACAGCTATAATACAAATTAGTATATAGGTACATAAGACAGGGAGGATTTATGGTTCTGAGGACAACTGGCTGGGAGGAATAATTAATGACTGAGGAGGGAGTGTGAATCCAGGATTACTGGGAAATAAGCTTTGGAAGGTCAGGTAGTGCTAGATTGCCAAAGGCTTTGAATTCCAACCTAAGGTACCTGAATTACTGAAGTTTTGAGCAATGGAGTGATACGTTCATATGAATATATAAGGAAGATTGATCTGTCAGCAGTGCAATGACTGGATGGATCAGAGGAAGGAGAGAGTAGATTTTAGAAGTCTGGTAAGGAGGCTATTGCAATAGTCTAAGTGACTAGTAAATGAAAAACTCCAATCTCATCACCACCATGTTCTCCCCCCCACAGGCAATTCCACCTCTAAAAAGATCTCAGGGCTTTAGGTAAATTTTTTGAAGCTGTTTAAAAGCAATTATTTGGCCATCTTAATGGTTATGAGATCGATGTTCAAAAAATATTTTTCTAAAATTGAACTTTTTAAAAACAAAATAAAGGAAATGTGAAAATAGCTCCTCTTCCACAAAAGAAGCTTTAATAGACAAATATAATACTTTATAGTACATATATATACTTATATAATTATGACTGCATCCTAACCAATTGGTACAGTTACCTCCTGACCCCAGAGTGACCATATGGTGATAAAAGGTACAAAGTAACTTGCTCACTCTAAATTTTCTTACCTGTAAATAGAACTGATGATGAGAACTCAGTTTTAGGAAATATCACTTCTTCCCAAATTATTATCCTGTATGAAGATTAACAATCACTATGTACAAAATCATCATACCTCTATTTTTCCATTTAACCTCTCCATTTCAGATGGGTCTTCCCTGTGACTTTTGGTGCCACCTCTGGATTCTCTTATCTGCTTTTTCTGAAGCTTTTCATAGCCTTTCTTTAGTCTGGTTAGCTGTGAAGACAGTCAATTTCATTGCTTATTAAATGCCTAATCATTTAAACCAGGTCTAAGAATTTAAAAGTGGTACTAGCAGAATATATTAAATATGCCAGCATACACAGGTAATTATATCAAAAGAAGTTCAAATAGTTAATACTACCATTAAAGAAGTGTAGACCGTATGTCATAAATGCAAAGTTTGTTTCAATTAAATAAAGGAATACAAGGCATCAAAAAAAAGAACTTAATATTTCTGTTAAGACCCAAGAAACCTGCCAAGAAAATTAAAGTTTATTTTCTGTCCTTTAGGATGTACCGAACAACTGAGTAAAGGGAGGTGAAGGATAAAGGTTTTTAGCCCTACCTTCTAGATTACTTTAAAAAGTTCCCACAAGTAAATAATAAATAAATAAATCCATTAAATAATAAATAAATAAATCCAAATTAATGAATATTTATTCACCTCTTCCTGAAGTTTCTTCAATTCCTGTTTGTATTCGATGGCCATTTCTTGCTTGGTTTTATCGAGCTCTTCCATCTGCTGATGCAACATCCCAACCTAAAGAAAGAGATGGGTGGGGTTTTAATATTAAAAAACAAAAACAAAAACAAAAACTACAGAGCTACATAACAAAGGAAAGAGCCTACATATACAACAACTCATATATCTATATAACACCCCACTTATCAAAAAAATAAACTTCCAATACCATTAATAATTAAGATCAGAGCCATGAACCTAAAAGTAGATAGAGTTGGTGTCCACAGCAAAACAATCACAAAGTCCAAGAATTTTACTTCTAGGGTGGTCCCCACGCATATGTGATTTACTACAATAAAGTAAATTAGGAGGAAGTGATAACAAGAGGCAATAGATAGCCTAACAATAAGAGAGAAGAAAAAGAGAGAAAGAAAGAAAAAGAGAAGGAAGGAAAGAAAGAAGTAAGAAAGGAAGGAAGACTGTTAAACCACAAAAAAACAAAAACAAAACCCCAGCACATTTGAACCTACCCACTCCATCTTCCCTCTTCAGGCTATATATTACAAAACAAAGTTAGGACAATACATTGAAGCATTTGGTTCCACCTGAATGAGAAACTTTATCAGTGTTTAATTCTGAATTCCAAAACAATGTCCTGTACTGATGTTCTTTTTTACATCATTCTGACCAAAGGCCTAACCACTTTCCAGGAGGAAGTTTAAGAAGAAACTCTCTAAATTACCTGAAAATGGATTTAGGTCATAATTGTACTTAGAACAGAAATAGTTTATTCTAGAAATAGTTCATTCATTATCTCTATCCTTGACCAGACTGAATTACTAAGGAAAAGATTCCAGGGTGTACCAACAATTTAGTGAATCAAATCCATGAACTGAAATTTGACTTTAGTTTTGTAACTATATTTTATTTTATTTTATTTCATTATAGAATTTTGTCTTTGGGAATATCCTATATTATAACTTGACAATGGTTTATATAATAGAGAATTAAAGGCAGGATGGATTTCCTCTCTTTCTAATCAGAGACTAGAATTACAATGATTTGATTAATAGATTTATTTTTTGGCAAGCTACACCCAAAATGCAAGTATTGAATTTTTTTCTCTTCCACAGGAGCAAACCACTTCAGATGTCTCAACAGGCCTTGAAGGCACTGAATCATGCAATAGAATATAATAAGTGATGTTCATAATGATGGGAAATAGTTTAATTGTGCTTGGCAAATTCTGTTTAAGATAACATGTAATGCTACAAAGCACTTTAGAAATAGTTCCATCAAGTGATTATTATAATCATTGGTTTAAAACATACAACCTTCTATCTAGAAAATTAGGTTATGTGAAATGTTATAAAAATAATGTATTCATATATGCAAATATGCTCCTCCTCAATCTCCCACCCTATTACTAGATATCAGGAACATTAAAAGTTATTAAATGTTATATTCACATCCCTAAAGTCAGTTATACTTAAAAGAGTGGTGGTCCATGGGAATAAAGAGGTAGAGAAAAGAAGATCTAAATAACTAGAGAAATATTCATTGCTCATGGGTAGGCCAAGACATTATAATAAAAACGCAATGCTACTTAGGTTATAATAAAAATGTAATACTATCTAAATAAATTTACTTATTCAGTGTCATACCAATCAAACTACCAAAGGATTACATTTTAAGCTACAAAAAAACAAACAAACAAGAAAATAGTTAATTTAGAGGAATAAAAAGTCAAGAATCTCAAGGGAAATAATGGAAAAAAAAAGTGGGAAGAAAAGAGGCCTAGATTTCAAACTATACTACAAATCAGTAATATCAAAAAAAAGATTTGGTACTGGTTTAAAAAAGAGAGGTTAGTCAAGAGAACACAGTAAATCAGACAAAAGCAAATGAGCATAGTAACCAAGTATTTGACAAAAACCAAAGATCCCAGATACTGGGGTAAGAAATCACTATTTGACAAAAACTAATGGGAAGACTAGAAAGCAGTTTGGCAGAAACTAGGAGTAAACCAACATCTCAAATCACATATCAACATAAGCTCCAATTGGGTAATGACTTAGACATAAAGGGTGATTTCATAAACACATCAGAGGAGCAGAGAAGAAATTGCCTCTCCAATGTATGCATAGGAGAAAAATTCCTGACCAAAGACGGGAAAGAGAAGATCACAGAAGATAAAATAGATAATTTTGATTACATAAGATTTAAAAAGTTTGCATAAACAAAATCCCCTAATACTCCCAAGTACAGTTAAAACCAGATTAAAATATAACTGAGAAATATTTGACAAAACAAATAAAAATATAATAACACAAAGATAATGATAGTTTGAGGTTTTCTAAGTCAATATGCAGCTGGTAGGGACCCATTTCCACTTCAATTTGACGCTACCAGTGGTATCTCCTATCAAAAACAACTGAAAATAGGTCCTAAAGAAAAAATCTAAGAATCATGACAAAAAAATAAAAAAAAAGCCTAGAAATCATATGTGAAGACATGATGAATAAAAACTGCCCAGATCTATTAGGATCAGAGGGCCAAATGAAAAAGAGAAATAATCCATCAGTAACCTCACTTGAAAGAAACCCTAAAATTTAAACTCCCAGTAACAGTATCATAGCCAAAATCAAGACCTTCCAGGTCAAAGAAAAAAAAAAAAATACCGTAAGCAACCAGGAAAAAAAAAATGAGCTGAAGTACCAAGGTTCCAGAGTCCAGACGACAGAAAGCTTGTCAGCTACCATCATAAAGGAGAAGAGGATTTGAAATGCAATATCCCAAAAGGCTAAAAAGGCTTACAACCAAGAATAACTTAACTCAACAAAACTGACTTTAATCCAGGGGAAAAAAACACATCTTTAATGGGGAAAAAAAAAGACTTCTAAGTATTCTTGATATAGTAGTTTCAGTAGAAACTTTGAAATGCAAACAGAGATGTAAGTCTGTAATTCATTGCTTCACCTCCTAAAATACAGGTCTGACCTTTTTACCCCAACCCACCCCCATACACACTCAAATTCCAGTGGCTCCCTATCAGCTCCAGGATCAAATACTAAATCCTCTGTTTGGAGTTCAAAGCCCAGTCTTCTTCTACCTTACACATCTTCTTCCTCCCCATCCCCCCAGTTTCAATGGCCTCCTGGCTGTTCCTCCAACAAGACCACATCTCTTGACTCCAGGCATTTTCATATGTTGTCACCCATGCCTAGAATGCTCTCTCTCCTCATCCCACCTTCTTTCCAGCTTCCTTCAAGTTCCAACTAAAATTTCTCCCACTTTTCTGTAAGAAGCCTTTCCTGATTCCATTTAATCTTTATACCTTCCCTCTGTTGATTATTTCCAATTAATCCTGTATACAGCCTGCTTGTTCACACTTATTTGCATGGTAATTTCTCCATTAGACTGTGAATTCCTTAAGAGCAGGGTCTGTCTTTTACCTTTCTTTGTGAACTGAGTCCCAGGCATATAACAGACACTCAATAAATATTTACTATGACCTCCTATTCAAAGTTTCTTAAAGTCATTTGTCTGGATCTCTTCACATCATGATATACTTTGCATTGTATTTATCTGTATTCAAGTAATTTCCCCAATAGAAAGTAACCTCCTTAATGGTAGGGTTTATCATGGTATCGTACACATACCCTAAAAAATCAAGACTCTGTGATGTCCTGTGGGGAAGTCTCACTGAGATTAACTTCCTCCAGCAACACAGATCGACACCAAACATTGCATTGCCACTATGCTTTAAAAATAGGAGGTGCTTAATAAATCCCTGGTGCACTGATTTCAAGCCTTTGCTCATACAACTGCCTCTGCTTCAAATGCCCTTCTCCTTATCCTTATCTTTTCTTCCCAACAAAGCCAAGTAAAAGACCTCTTTCTAGAGGCCAGAGTAGGCATGGAAGATTTCAATAAGGTCATGAGTCTCAAATGACAAAACATAGAAAGTGCTCTGCAAACTTTCATGCATTAAACATCAGCTATTTTTATAGTAATGGCTCTATCTTCTAAAGCCACCCAGAATCTTGATAGCATTTTAGAGAGGAGGAAGGACCTGAAAAATAACTGTTTCACACAGGCTGAAAGCCACTGATCTAATCCAACCTTCATTTTATATTAATAGACAAGGTAATTGAACCCCAGATCTTTCAAGAGACTCACTTAAGTTCAGAATTCCATAAAATACTAGTAGTAATAAGGACTAGGTCACAGATTCCTGTTTTCCCAGCCCAGTATGTTCTACTAAATCATGTTGTCCATGCCTAAACTTGGGTGGTTATGGTGAGTGAAGAGGATGTGAGAGACCTGATGGAGGCAGAATCAACAAGACTTGGAAATTGATTGAATAGAGGACAAAGAACAGTGAAGAGTTGAAGATGACTCCTTGGCTGAAAATCTGGAAGACCAGAAGATAGTGCCATGACAGAAAAAGGAAAATGTCAAGAGGGGTAGATTTGGGGGAAGATGGATTTAACTTCGGTTATGTTGAGTTTGGGATGCCAATGGAATACATAGGTGGAATAGTCCAGCAAGCAGTTGGATGATTGGTTCTCAAGATCAAGAAAGGAATTATGGATGAATATATAAATTTGGCAATCATCTGTTTAAAAATAAGAACTAAACCCATGAGAGCTGATGAGATCACCAAGAAAGAATAGAGATGGTGAACAGAGGAGAGCTTAAGACAGAACCCTGGGGTATAATCATGCACAAGGGGCAGGACGTACATGATAAATTCTGAAAAGGTGACTGAGAAAGATAGTCTGACAGATAGGAAGAGAACCACAACAAGGCAATATCACAGAAACCTAGGGAGCAGAAAAGGAGTCAACAGTATCAAATGATGCAGAGAGGTAATGAAGGATGAGGACAAAAAAAGTCATTAGTTTGGCAATAATGAGATGATTAGTGACCTTCAAGAAAGCAACTTCATTCAGGTAATGAGAATAGAAGCCAGACTACAAGAAGTTGAGGAGTGAAAGGCAACTAGTACCATTTTTTCCCCAAAAGTCGGGCTATTAAAGCAAAAAGGGGACAATACGGTTGGATGAATGGAC